CCTCTCCTTAATACTTGGCACTCTGGCTTCCGGTACCACTCCACTGAACCTGCCCTCAGGAGTTACCAGCGCTGTCTTTAATTGCCAATCTCAGTGATCTTTTTTCAGTCTTCATCTTTCCTGACCTACCTGATGCATTAGACAGTGTTGACCTTCCTCTCTTCTTTGACACTCCTCTTTCTGTTTTGTTTTCTGTGACACCACTTTCTTCTGGTTCTCCTAATTGTCCCAGCTGCTCCTTTTCAGGCTCCTTGGCCTGTCCGTTATCTTTATCTTGCCTCTTAACTGTGAGTTTGCTCCAAGACTGTCCCCCATTCTGTCTCTACACTATGCAGATAACTCCTAGATCTACCTCCAGGCCCAGTTTCTTTCCTTAGCTTCATATGTCACCACCTGCCTGTTAAACCTTTCAACCTGTGTCCCTGACACATCTCAAGTTCACCACGTCCACCACGTCATAATCTTTCAACCAAAACCCAGCCCTCTTCTAAACTTGCCTGTTTCTGTAAAAGACCCTACTGTTCTTTCAGTCTCCCAGGTTCATAACCTCCATATCGTCCTTGAGACTAATTTTCACGTACTCCAATATATCCTTTCAGTTGCCAAATCTTTCCATTCCTATCTTCACATCTCACCTTTCAATTAATATGGCCACTGTCTTAAAGCTGTCACTGCCTCTGGCTCCGACTGTTGCAGTGGCCTCCTAACTGGTCTCCCTATCTCAAGTTTCTCACTGCTAGTCTGTTCTGTACATGCTCATAAAGTGATTTTTTTCCCCCTTAAGTGTGGATCTAACCATGTTACTTCCCTTTTCATTTTTGTTTGTTTGGTTGGTTTTTTGCTAAGCAATGGGGTTAAGTGACTTGCCCAGGGTCACACAGCTAGTAAGTGTTAAGTGTCAAGTGTCTGAAGCTGGATTTGAACTCAGGTCCTCCTAACTCCAAGGCCAGAGCTCTGTCCACTGCACCACGTAGCTTACGCTGTTACTTCTCTTTACAACCAGCTCCTCTGTTTTAAAGCCCTTTACAATCTTTGCCCAACCTATCTTCAGCCTCCTTTTATCTTCCTCCCCTTCCCACCCTCTGTATTAGAGTCAAACTGACCTCATTGTTCCTCACACACATCACTCTATATCCCATCTCTGGGCTTTGTGCTGGTCAGGGCCTGTGCCTGGAATATGCTCTTTCATCTATTAAAAGGCAGCTCAGGTACCACTTTATACATGAAGAGTTTCTTAAACACACCCACTGCTAATAGCTTCCTTTCCTAACTACCTTCCTGAGTGCTGAGTGTCGTGTTGGGGAGGGGCACCTTCTTAATTTCATACCAGATCCTAGCATCACTGGAGCTTCAAAAGATTTCTGTCACCATATCGGCTGAACCCCTGATTCCACAGGGGTTACATTATTCAAGTATGCCAATACTCTCCATTTTGTATCATAAGCATGGGATGAATTATTGTCAGAGTATAATTAATTTTAGTTATGCCTCCCCCCCCCAAAAAAAAAGCAACGATTTTTAGGGTCTGTTTTTCCTTACCTTCTCCCCTTCTAAATACTAAGCAAGAGTTTGCCCCACAACAGACTTCTGGCATAAAAACATCTAACTTCCATGTGTCTCTTGGTAGAGGAAACTGTCCCCTTTTACAAACCTTTTTTAAACTTAGGCTAGAAGAAGAAGAAAAACTATTAAATGCTGAAAGTTACTACAAGAAAGCTTTGGCTCTGGATGAGACTTTTAAAGAAGCAGAGGACGCATTATCAAAGCTTCACAGGCATATGCAGGTGATTCTTTATTTTCCCTTAAACAATTACTGACAGTAATCAACTTAGAACCAAAATTTTGATTAAACTTCCTTCTGAATTTAGAAAATGAGACCATTCCCAAAACTGTTGCTTCTTTCTCACAGATGTTATTGTTTTAGGCTCTGTCCCTTTTTGTAGTATGAAGCTAAGTTGATGTTGACTCGTGCTTACCTAATTTTCAGTGTTAAGAAGCAGAAAGTATTTTAAATATGCACTCACAAGTTGAGAATTCAGATTACCCAAATGTACTATGGAGTTTTGAAGACTACTAGTAGCATGTTTACAAAATAGGTTGATAAACAGCCAAACCCTTCCTTTACCAGTGGTGCTGTTATTTTGGTTATTTTAATGATTCTAAAATACTTGTAAATCACAAATGTAAATAAGTAGTTGAGACTGCATTTTCCTGTAATACTGATGATGATGTTTTCTCATATGCATTTTCTTCTGAATTGGACCGTTGCTGCTGTGTCTGTGACATCTGGTGCTGCTCATCCCCAACCACAAACTGGAAAATGATTTCTTATGTAAATCATGCATCCAACTGGGCTGCGATATTTTTTTAAATGGTTTGTATCCAAACATGGCAAATCCACCTTAAATACATTTTTATTGGAATCCCTTTTTTTGGATTATTTGTAAAAAATGCATGTGACTCAATTTAATCCACCTTTTTTTCTTTTTTGATCGGTTTTCTTGTCTTTTCTCTTCTATTCTATTTGGCCTTCCTGTTTCACTGCCCTGGGTCATGGGTACCAATGCAATGGTTTCCCTTTTTTAATGGAATACCAACTGCAATATGGCCTTCAATCCTCTACTGGTCATCCTGATGATTAATGCCAAATACCTCTGTGATAAATTTTTCGTGTTTAAAAACCCACTTATTTGATGTTGGAAATATGGTGATGTTGGTATGTTATTTTTGGTAATGGGGGGCTGATCTTATGAAACACTGGGGCTCATATATTCTGCTATGTTTAATGTGTGGTTTTTTTTGATATCTGGGTTCTAAAAGAAATCTTTGGAATTAAGAGAAAAACAAGCTGAAAAAGAAGAAAAGCAGAAATCAAAGAAAATAGAAACAAGTGCAGAAAAATTGCGTAAGCTCTTAAAAGAGGAAAAAAGGTAAACCCATAACACTCCATTTATTTCAATTAGTGTCTACTGAGTTGAGTTCAAACACCATATAGCAATAAAGTAAGTAAATACATGCTACCCTTAGTAACTAAGAGGAGTTACTTGCATTTTTGCTGATTTCAGGAATACGTAGTATAATTCATTGCCTCCCCTAGAGTATGGTTACATAAGCCATACCCAAAGGGTATCATAAATACTAAACACTCGGTTGTCCATTAGGACACCTATCTCTTTTACTAAGCTAAATTATAAATTAAAATCTTAAATTGCTTGATTATTAGGTATATGTTTATATATAGTGGGCTTACTACATGTAAGGAGCATGTTTAAAACTCCTCTAATTTGCACTGAGATGGAGTCATTTTAGCACACTTTCTTTTTAATTTTTTTGGGGTGGGGGAGGAGTAATAAAGTTTTAAGATTAAGCTAAGTACACTCTTATTTTTTGGTTTCAGAGTAGAATGCAGAACTGAAAAGTATTTGCAGAATTGAAGTGGAAGGGTCCAATTATTTTAACCATATGTTTATTTTAGGCAAAAAAAAATTCTAGCCTTGTTATTTCCCAGATAAATCTCTAGGTGCCCTGACAGTGTGAAATGTGAAGGGTGGATGAACAATTATTTTGGCTTTTGTGCATCTCCTTGAAAAGGGACAGTTTTATGCCAGAAGTTGAGAAGTGGGTTCTCTGAGCAATAATGGGGCTTCATAAATTACCTACATTTTTTAGGTTAAAGAAGAAAAGAAAAAGATCTACTTCCTCCTCTTCAAGTATTTCTTCAGCTGACCAAGTGGTTTCTTCTTCATCATCGTCTTCCTCTTCTGGTCACAAAAAGCATAAGAAAAGGAAGAGGAACCGTTCAGAGTCCTCTCGAAATTCCAAAAGGCATTCCTCCAAGGCTTCTTCACATCTTCCAGATCAGAATAGGAAAGAGGAGAGCTACCCACTTCCAGCCAATACCTCAGCATCCTTTCTCAACCAAAAACAAGAGATGGAAAAACTGCTAGAAAATCAGGGTAGAATAAAAGAAAGAGAAAGAGGTAACACTCAGTCATCATCTTCAGCTGAAATTCCGGATAATTTTGGAGGTAGGTCTGAAGATTCAAGGGATTTTTATAATAGCTCTAGAACTCAGGCAAGTAGTAGCAAAACTGAAAAGCCATGTAAACCAGACAGATACTATTCCAGTAGACGAGATTTCTCTGGTTCCTTCAATAGAAATTCAGATGAAAAAACAAAAAATTTTAATAGAAAATTTGAAAAGGGAGCAGAGGGAAGAAAAGAACATTATAGAAAGTGGGAGCCAGGCTCAATGAGATATTCTACTTCTCCAGCAGGATTGGACTGTTCATGGAAGTCCGTTGAAAAAAGCAAAAAATATGCAAATACTGGATTACATGATTTTAGTAGAAATGATGAAGAGCAAAGATCACAATTAAACACAAATCAAAAGAAAGAATCTGAAAATAGGGAAGAAAATTATGGGGATGAGATAGCAGAGGATATTGAAGAAGATGCATTAAATGGTAAAGAGCGAGCAGAAAGCAGTGTTAAGAAAAATCTTCCTCAAAATTTGCTCACTATATTTAATCAGATTGCTGAATTTGAAAAAGAAAAAGGAAATAAGCAGAAAAACTGAGTAGGTGCCAAAGAAATAGTCTCATGTCCCTTAAGCCATGAAGGTGTTTTTATCTCCACTGTCCTTTATGCAGACTTTCAGAGAACGCACACACACTGGCATTGTTCTGTTTAAACTGTACTGACTTCTCTGTAGCTCCCTCTTCCTAGCCGGGTTATTGATCATAAGCAGGATTTTCCTCTGTAATAGACATACAGACATCATTTCTTAGAAAAGAACAAGGTGATTTAGTTAAATTTGTTTACTTGAAGATGTTCCCGTATGATGAGAATTGATCTTTTTGTATGACGTTTTACCATATTTCTTTGCTAACCTCCTAACAGAAGTAGCCTTTTGGTTAGGTTGAGAGAAAATTAGATTTGCACTTTAAAGATTCAGGCCAAGCTTGCTAAAAACTGATGATTCCATTGTCATTTTTCTATTGTTAAATGAACTGAGCCTTGGGCTTCTGAAAGGGTTTCCAGAATGGAACGTCCTGGATGTGCCGTTCTGTATCTGTAAAGAGTTGTTTTAAATATTAAATTTTATTAAAAACTCAGATAGCTTCATTTGTATTGGCAGGGTATTGGTCTCATTTCTCTCTCCATTTGAGTACTCCTGTTGGAAAAAAGATTTCTTAGGAGCACCTTTATGAACAGAAAGGCTTGTGACACGTGCCACACCAGACTGTGATTCTAGTTACTTTTTATCATCATACAGTTTCAGGGTTCCTTGGTAGTTTGGTTTTTTCTATTTTTTTTTTTACCTAAAGCCTGTTACTCAGCTTGATCCATTTGCTAGCCAGACTTGGCTCTGGGTGACTCTCGTCTCTTTACTCTTAAAATACAAAGATTTTCTACCTTTGAGGACCTTCAAAAGATTATGTTTACAGTGTTCCACATTAGTGGAATTAAGGCAATGCTTTGAATTAGAAGGCCTGCTTTGAATTAGAAACTCATCATTTCCTGGCTGGAATGTGGTGACAAAAGGGTCTTGTAGGATGAAAAATAAAGGTTTTGAATTATACTTCATATACTGTTTTTCCAAAAGTGCAGAGACAAATTCTAATTCACAGATTATATGCCATAATAAGTATTAACCAAGGAAATCTTTATTGCATCTGACCTTCCTTCTCCCATCAAAGCATCCAGAGTCTTACATGTTTTTTCATCTAAGCTTTGCAAAAAGTATTTATTTTACTCTCTTGAAAATGTAAAATTTCACAAGTACAGGGCAAATTAAATTATGCATTTTTGCCGAAACAGTTCCCCATCCTATCTGGTACATGATCACCAATATCACACTCTTCTTAAGTTGAATTCTTTTCATTTTATGTTTTCTTCTCATCACAGTGCAATATGAATCTTCCTTTTCAGACATTTGACAAATTGCAATTTTCCCTCCCATTGAGATTGCTAAGCATAGCAAAATTTAATGCAACTTAATTGCATAAATATAAAATATAAGATTTGAACAAAGTAAAATGCAAAAGTTCCTTTACAAAATAAATTTTGTAATTGGGATTCGTTTAAAAGACTAGGTTTGAGTCCTTCAACTACTAGGGCACATTGAAGAGTTGGACACTTTCTTAAGAGTTAAAAATTAATTTTAAAAATGGATACCCCTAAAAGTAGTAATGTGGTGTGCCAAACTGCCCATGATTGAGAAGTTCCTTAAACAAGTAATACTTGCTGCAGACTAGGAAAAGGGAAGCTCAAGTATGGCCTATCCCAGAAATCTTCCCAGAGTTTAAGGGCTTTTGAGCCTTCAAGCTACTGAAGCTTTGGGGATAACCTGTACATTGTCTATTCTCTTTCAAAGTTCTGAGAAGTCAGATTCCTAATAGATTGAATGACTAGCCTTAAAACATATCATCTTCCTGGTGGTAGAATTTTTTTTTTCATAGTTTACATCAGAAGCACAATTATTTAACAATGAGCCTGCACTCTTCTAATGTAACTCCTACCCTGTTAAGGTAGGAGACAGGAAATTGCTTATGAAGTACAACCTTACTGAGAATATGAAAATGCTTTACAGTGTTTCCTTCTAAGACAAAATAAGGGAGAAAACACTATAGAAAAATGGTTTGTCTTTTACTTGAGTGATTTTTTGTTTGTTTTTATTATATATTTTTCCTAAGTAAAACTTGTTTGGTCACTCATAATTTCCAACAGTAGCATAATATATTTTTTGTAGACTAATATACAATAATTAAGTACAGACTTCACCTACATTTTGTTTAACATTCAAAAACATCATTAAATATAAATTCATCCTGGAGCTAAAAAAATGTCACTTTTGGCTTTTATCACTACTGGAGCTAGCTGGACTGACTGAACCCACTGGCGAAGAGATTTCCAAGCCCAACTGCACAACTTTGGGTTTAACCGAGGCTCCACTCTTCGTCGACCTAGGAGATAAATCAGAATTAGTGAAAAATAATTATTTTTAGTACAAATCCCTTATTAAGTCCTAAGAGATTGAGTATAAGAAGCCTTCGTTTATTTAGAAGTCAGATCCCTGGCAACATCAATTACAGAAATAGCTTGTAGCTCTTGAGAAGCAAACCTCTGGACAGTGAGAAAACCAATACAATAAGATCCTGTGGCCTAAAATCATACAGAAGTGAGTCCAGGATAGATGGGAAGCTTTCAAAAATGAACTTCTGAAAACAAAGATGATTCTGATGAATAATGGTGAGATTATCTTCTAAAGAGTATGCATGCAGTGAGCTCGTCAGCTGACTCAAGGTATACAGAAGATGGAAACATGATAAAAAAAAATGCTACATACACAGGCTAGGCATATTCCTGCTGGGATAGCATCAGGCCCTCAGTAAGGGCTTGTCTTAAACATGTTGGGAAGAGATCAGAGAAGGGAGAGGCCTCCTATAGCCTTGACTACTGAGAACAAAGCAGGACAGATGTGTAACTGCTTCTGCCTTCTGTTTCAGGGAGAACCTTGATTGGAAAGAACAGAAGGAAAATAGGCCTAATAAGGAATTAAGACACAAAATATGTCAGGATGTAGCAAGGGCGTACCTGAATGCTCTGACCAGAAGGGATTAAGTTAGAGAAAGAAGGGATAGCAAATGGGCTTACAAGCCACCCTGGCTGATCTTTGAAAGGTCACCAGAAGCATTAGAATTAAAAGGCAAATGTCCCAGTTTTCACATATATGGCATCCCATATCCTGGTTATGCCTTATGCCTGGAGTCCACTCCTGCTTTGCTTCTACCTCTAGAATCCTTTGTTTTCTCAAAACTGTTCCTGGGATACCTTTTCCTGGCCCCTGCTTGTGGTGCTTCCCCCTTCCCCTCAGAAAAATAACCATTGTTTTATACACTCATACATCTCCTTTGATAGAGTATGAGTTCCTTGAGGGCAGATACTGTTCCATTTGGGCCTTTGTATCCCTCAGTGTCTAGCACAGCACCTAAACATGGGCATTCTGGGAGCTCCAATTCTCTAAGGGCCCTTCCAGCTGGGACAGTCCCAGGAACCGTGACGATATGTACTCCCTCACAAAATACAATGACGCCATTGTCAGCAACACTAGAGTCATCCATGGTAACTTGTATTTACAGACAGGTATTTTCCATCTCACCGGCATGGTTGCTTATCACTTTCCTTTGTGACCAATGAGAAGCCAAAGCTGCTTTCCAGTCGGCTGCATAAACTGTGTTGAGAACCTTGGCTTGCAGCAGTTTTTTTGCGATTACTTGACAGTCTGCTTTAGTAGTAGGCAACCCTGGCCTGCTCACTGTTGCCATACACAGCACCCCATCTCTCACCAATGCCTTGTCACTGGCTGGACCTGGAATGCTCCCCCTCCTTACCTCCATCTTGTGACTTTCTTGAAGACTCAGTGCTGATCATACATTCTGTAGCAGACCTTTCCAAGGGATCTCCCACCGTCCCCCTACTGCTAGTACTTTCCATCTGAGATTACCTCCCATTTACACTGTATATATTTTGTAATTGTTGGCATGTTTGCTGTCCCATCAGATTGTGAGGGAACTCTCTCTAAGGGCCAGCACTATCTTCTGCCTTTCTTTGTATCACCAGCTCTTGGTTCAGTGCCTGACACATAGTAAGCACTTAATAAATGCTTGTTAACTAACTGATCAGCTTCCCTGGGTTCAACTGTCATTTCTGTACATGCCTCCCAAGATCAATATACTCAGCCATCATCTCTTTCCTGTGCTCCAGTCCTGCATCACCACAATTGGCTGGACATCATATGGATGTCCCACAGGTATCTAAACTCAACTTGTCCAAAAGGGAACTCTATCCTACCCATTCCACGCCCCCTAAAACCTACGTCTTCTCCAAAATTCTATTTTGTGGGTTCAACGATATAAGTTACCTACTTTACAGCCTTGTACATTGATACTACATACCCAGGTTTACAATCTTGGACTCCTCTATTACCAGTCACTTGCCAAGTTTTGTCAGTTCTGCCTCCACAGTGTCTTTTCCATGCATCCCTTTTTCCATTTACAGCCACCACCCTAGTTTAATACTCCATCGTATTATAAGGGCCTCCTTGGGCATCCAGCCTCTAGTCTCTAATTCATCATCCTCAGAAATGCCGAAATGGAGAAATGCTTCCTAAAGCACAAGTCTGATGATCATTTCTTTGCTCAGTGAGTCTTCCTACTACTTAAAGAATAAAATACAAGCTTTTTACTGTGGCATTTAAAGCCATTAATTATCTGACACCAGTCTACCTTTCTAGGTTTATTTCACATTGCTGCTCTTCATATACATGACATTCCAGCCAGATTGGTCAGCAGACCCTCACCTGATTCTTTTGTGTTTCTGCACAGGTTCAAAAGACTTCAAAAGTACAAATATAGAGAGGTATGGCTAGACAGCAGTTAGCTTGGGAAAGATCTGGGAATTTTGTTGCCTTGCAAACTCAACAGGACCCAAATGTGTGGCATGGCAGCTGGGCTGCATTTAGAAACATGGCTAGCTTTCTAGATGATGACTCCAGGTGTGCCCTACCTGGATTCACCTCTAAAGTATTAGAGACATGTCCATCAGGCAGGGAATGATTGAATAAATTATGGTATATATGATATACCATATCATATCATATATCATGATATATATGTCAGAAATGAAAAAGGGGATGTTTTTAGAAAAACCTGGGAAAACTGAAGCAAAGTGAACAGAACCAGGAGAACATTGTACATAGTAACAGCAATACTGTAAGGATGCTCATCCATGAAAGACTTAGCTACTCTGATCAATACAATGATCCAAGAACATTCCAAAGGTCCCGTGATGAAAATGCTACCCGCCTCCACATAGAGGGCTAATGGACTCAGTGCAGACTGACATTTCCTTTTTTTTTTTCCAGAACATGGTTAATATGGAAATTTGTTTTGCATGACTTGATATTTGGAATGAGTATTGTATTTCTTGCCTTGTTGAATGGGGAGAGGGAAAAGTCCTGGAGACAATTCTGGGCACCACAGTTTGGGAAGAATATTGATAAGCTGGAGCTCATCCAAAGGACAGTAACCCAGGTGGTGAAGGGTCTCTAATCCATGACAAATGAGAAACTGACATAATGGGATGTTTAGCCTGAAGAGGACGTTTGCAGGGGAGGGAAGATCTTCAATTATTTTGTGGTCTATCATGTAAAAGAGGAATGGACTTGTTCTGCTTGGCCCCAGGAAGTAGTAGGAGTAATGGGTAGAGACTGCAAATAAGCAGATTTAGGCCTCTCCCAAAGTGGAATAGGCAACCCTGCAAGGCTCGGAGGTTCTAATCAGAGAGGTAGCACAATGACAGGTAACCATTACTGCTGTGGGGTAGCTGATTTTGATGATATAACCATTAAGGATACTGATGAACTGAAAGGCCAACTCATGTGAATGAGGCATGTGAGTCAAGGTCTGCAGAGGTACAGGAAGAGCAACAGGCAGGTGTGGAAGGAAAGACAACAGACCAGGAGCTGAGCTTTAAAAGTTAGAGGGTACCCTGCAATGGCGTTGTATCATGGTAACAAGCATCTGGATTGTGGGATACAAGTGGATGGAGTGTGCTTCATAGGAAGAAAAGTCGTAAAGTGATCATGTTAGAGGAAGGGACAGTGAGCCTCAAGAAGTATGATTTTTCCAACTGTTGTCATTTGTTAGGAGGGAGAGACAAACCTTGGATTAAGTGCTGGAGATAAACAAATTTTTTAAAAACCTAGTTATTTGTTCCTCTCAGTGGGCTTACATTCTAACAAGAAAACAAAACATGAAGGGGAACTGAAACTTGGAGAAGGACAAGGCAGTTAGCTAGTGGGGAGTTGAAGCATTCTTTGAGCTGAGAGTAAAATGAACAATCTGTGCTGGAGAGGGTGGTCAGAGATGTGGTATCTTCTGGAGAAAGCCAAGTGTCCATGAACAACAGAATATGGAAAAGGGCTAAGATGAATAGGATATCTATGTATGTACATGTATGTGTGTACATATTTTTTTATTAGAGGAGAGTGCAGAAGGCACAATGGAAGAGGATGGGTGAAGACAGTGTTTCCAGAGAGAAGACAGGTGGATAGAAATGAAGGTAGAAGTAGAGATAGCAAGAGGAAATGCTTATGACTTTGCAAGGAAATTACACAGTTATAGGATAGGGGGAAGAACTTCACCCTTCAAGGTCCTGGGATGACTGAGAATGCTATTAATAGTGGCATTAGCTAGTGACTTCTTAACCCAAACATTAGGAATGGTCCTGAGTGTTGGGGAAGTCAGATAAGACGACGAGAGATCCTTCTTCCCCCACCAGACTGAATTCAATCAGCACCAGCTCTAGAGTCTGTTCCAAGATGGAGTGACATACACCTAGAAGGGATCCTGCGTGCGGCCAGGCACCTGGATCCCATTCTGAGTCCCTGAAAGGAGCAGGCCCCTTGTGACTTTGGTCATCCTGAGGCTCAGGGTCTCCAATGGATCTGATACTCAGTGACTTCAGTTCAAAATCAGTTATGGGAGCCCTGGCAAAAAACCATGCTGCACAGTATGTTCAAGACTGCAATTTGAAAGAGGCCGCAGACTTGTCACGTACTCAGAAGCCTTCAAGCTAAAACTAACCAACCCACCCTGAAGCTTCTATAACGTGATTAGATTCTTCAAGAAGAGGTTTGTTTGTGGTTTTGGTTTTGGTTTTGGTTGCTTTTTGGTGAGGCGATTGGGGTTAAGTGACTTGCCCAGGGTCACCCAGCTAGTAAGTGTTAAGTGTCTGAGGCTGGATTTGAACTCAGTTCCTCCTGACTCCAAGGCCAGAGTTGTATTCACTGCACCACCTAGCTGCCCCAAGAGGAGTTAAAACCTGGCATGGAGTACGGTAAGCACCAGATCTCACCAAGGAATAAAGGTGTCTCTGTCTTAATACAGGAAAGTCAATTAAGTACATGGGAATTGTTTCAAAATCACTTGTCTGATGTGTGTGCCATCAAACCACTGAATGATCAGATGGTTACAGTAGAATTCAAGGGCTATTACAAGAGTCCTCATCTGACTTTTCAAATAAGCTACTAATGCTGAAAAGTGACAAACAGATAAATGCAAAGACCTTGATACCTAATCGCCATTTCCCACAGAAGTTTAACAGATATAAGTGATCACCATAACAGGCAAAAAAAAGCTCAGAAACTGCCTCAGAAAAGGCTTTGTCTCATAGCTAGAGTGATACAGCTGGGAAGAGCAACAGGAGTTTACACCATAGGCTCACCTATAGGTGATTACAAGCAACATTCCCCACAAAATCAGGACAAACATGTCTGCAAAAGGCTTGGCATCAGACCCAACTAAGCCTGAATAGCCATCCCAGGAGCATTTCTAGATGAAAATAAAAGCACACAGACAGACAGGAACCATTGCCCAGGTTTTTCTCTGGAGCTCCTAGCATTGATGTCAGGGAAATCACTGCATTTGGACATAAAACTGAGAGTACCCGCGATGCTACCAGAGAAGATGGAAATAGCATTCAAACCGTGAAGAAGGGAAAAGAGGACCATATCTGTAGCTCTGCTCTTGCCCACAAAGAATTCCCATCCGCGTGGAATGATTTCTCAAAGGTGGAAATGCTTGAACCAATTGCTTGTTATGCCAGTGTGGAGACAAGGGCAATGATACTTATCTAAGAGGTAAAACCAAAAGAAGGATCAAAGCATAGTGTGTGGTTGTGGGACAGCTGTCTTTTGTATGAAATGACTGACAGATCAAAGACACTGGTGGTTCTAAATTTAACATTAGAAATACTGGTATTATCTTATTAGAAAAAGCACAGAAAATTTGGTTGCATTCCAACCGATAGCGCAGAATACTAAGAAACAGTCACACTCAGAACTTTAATACATTCCCTTTCCAGTAAATGAGTGTCGGACATTAGGACAAACAACCCAAGTGGCCAAAGTCAAAACGCTCTTTTACATTACAAAAAGCATCATCTGCAGTATAGATGATATATGTGTATATGACCTTCCAAACCATACCACTTGGACTCCAGCCTCATTTTCCTCCTCATCCTCTTCCCACCAGAACTTTGGACTCTGTTCCTGGAGCTCCCCTGGGCTCTGCTAAGTGAGCTTTCACATTATTTCCCCCAGAACCAGGTTTCCACATCACTTCCGACCCACTCCAAACCATGCCTTGGCAGCACATGCACCCTCTCACTTTGAGGGCCTCTTTACGTATCGCCATCTCTTGCTCTAACATAAGCTCCTTGAGGGCACATACTGCCTTGGTTTCTTATATTTGTATTCCTGGTGCTTAGCACGGTGCCTGGCACATTGACGCTCACTAAATGCTTACCAGTCATTGAGTAATGACCAGAGTTGAGTAACTCACTCTCTGGACTTATCCACCTCCTCACTTGTAGCCATCTGCCCTGAGGCCCACTCTGGTGAACAGTGAGCCTCTGGCCTGGACATCTATCCCTAGACGTGCTCACTTCATTCCTGGTTCAACTCACCTTCTGGCCTTCACCTCAGCAGCAGCAACCTAGCAACCCCCTATGATTCTTCTCACAAGCTGAGGCTGACACACCATGACTGTGACAGGAGGAGCCACTACTGTAGATCTATTTAGTTTCACAGCTTCTCCTTCCAGGCCCCAGAGAATGCACCTTCCTGCAGGGTCTAAAGAGGGAGCCTCCCTGGGCCTGCTGCCCATCTCAGCAGCCCCAGCAGCGAGTGATGCAGGTCGGGAGCTGAGAGGGAAAGTCTACTGCCACCCCCTACCCAATGGGATAGCTGTGGTGGTATACAAGGGAGCCTAGTCTAGGCTGAGTTTAACAGCATCGGTAGGAGCTTTCAGACCCTCCCTAATCAATTTTAGGATGTGGGAACATCACTCACCTTGCTGACAGCGAACTCAGAGAAGAAGAACTAGACTCTCGGCGGCTGTGTATAGTGCTCGCTATCGGTAGTTCCAAACCCACCTAGAAGAATATGTGGATTAGACAGGTTTTTATTTCACTGTATATCAATCACTTCATGATTGATGCTATGGAAAACACATGTTCATCTGCTGTTCATCCTTTTTATCACAGGATTTACAGGTGGATTGGAACTAACTCGGGGATCTTGTCATTCAACCCCGTTATTTAACAGATGATGGGACAAGAGCTATAGAAATTAAAGAACTTACCCAAGGTCACATGTAGCAGCAAAGCAAATGTCCTTTCCACTACACCACATTAGTGCATTTATTGAAAACCCACTTGTTAAAGTTCCACATAAATGAAGTGCTTAAGAGAAGGTATTACCTGTTGAAAGTATGTTTGGAAAATGCCAGATAATTCAGGATTTTCTAATGTAGCCTCAACTAACAATTTGTCAATGGACTTGTTATAGTCTTTGATTTCTCGAAGACTGATATCATACTCTTCCATAGTTGGTTCTTCAGTTTTCCTTGCAAGACGAATCTCTTTGGTGAGTTTAGTACACTGTTTTGGGGGGAAGACACCATCACAGTTTCACATGAGTCAACAGATGAGATTTTTGAAAGGTCATTTCTTCAATTGTCAAATACATTTTCTCAAAAAATAACTATTCGGCTACTATTTGTCATTTCAGAAAGTATCAATTCTAAGCCAAGTTTTAAAAGATGCCAATACCTGTCTCTTGACTCTCTCTATTTTGGGCTTCTGCTCTTCAGTGCCAGTGCTTAAGTCAATTGCGTAAACCTGCTTCTCGGCAAACCTTTCTTTGCAATTATTTATTAGATTTTTCAAGACTTCTAAAGTGTGTTCCATGCTCTGTAGGATACAAAGTATTAATACGCCTTACAGGTAAATATGTTCAGTTCTACAAATTGCCACTCGACTGGCATCGCTTCATTTCTCTTATTTTAGGTGATATTATGTGCTTCCCTAACTTCGTTCAACTCAGATCAAATCCTACCTTCCACAGGGGAGTTTCCCTAATCCCCTCACTGCTATTCCCTTCCCTCTGAAATTACCTTCCACTTACATTGTGTATATCTTATATTTAAGTCCTTATTTGTATGTTATTTCTCCCATCAGCATGTGTACTCCTCAAAGGCAAGGGTCATGTTTTTGCCTTTCTTTGTATCCCCAGTGCTTAGCACACTTCCTGGCACATAGGAAATGTTTGTTGATTGATTGACTAAAGCAGGAAGAGCACTGGCTTTGAAATTAAAGAATCTGAGTTCAAATCCTGCCTTGACCACATATCTATATGACCTCAGGCACATCCTAGTCCTATTTTCTTCATCTGTAAACTAAAGGGTTTAGAGTAAATGGCCCATAAAGTCCCTTCCAGATCAAGTCTATGATCATATGGACTTTGATTATGTGGAGGGAAAATGGGCCTGTATAAAACTCTTTATGAGTTGATTTTTGGTTTGTGTTTCTCTTTTTTTCTGACTAGATCTGGACTTCACCAGTGTAGGAGTTCCCTGGTGAGAAAATCCCCTTCACCAATACTAATCAGCAGCTTCTACTCTTTAAAGAGTTGCATTGCACAGCCTGTCAGAGATGGGATTTCACTCAGCTCTTCCTGCCACTAAGACCAGCTCTGTATTCACTCCCCAATGCTTTCTGCTGCTAGAAAATCCAGAATGTTTTCCATGGATCTTGATAAAAACAATACATATTAGATAAACTAACATAGCCAGATCTTCCCGTCACACACCTCAAACTCCAGCCAAACCCCTGTTCCAGGCCTTTCGCCCTAAACCAGGAATGCTCTTCCTCCTCACCATCTCTCCTCTGGGGACTCATCTCTCTTCCTCTTTCAAGCTCAGCTCTAGTTCCATCTCTTTGAAAAGGCCTTACCTAATTCACCCAGGCATTAATGACTCTCCCCACCACTCCAAAACAAAACAAAAAATCATTGTATATTTAACTGTCAACAATCCCACATTCCATTTGCTATCTTATCCTTTAGCTTTATTCTTAGTCTAGGCTGGTATCTCTATTTTCGCATGGTCATTGTTACCCAAAGGAAGGTCTGAGAAGGGCACTGGCAAGCCTTCAAAAATAGTGCTGTCCAGCAGACCCCTCCCTTTTACTATCACACAACGGACTCAAACAACATCCTACCGTATTTAACACTTGTTAGCTATTTTAAAAGTCATTATTCATTGGAGCAAAATGCTATGTGAAAGGTTCTCCTCTCAAAAGGATGCAACCAGATGCAACCAGAGAGACAATTTTGTTCAGTGACCCTCTGATTGGAAATGTCAAATGTATGCAGGGATGAAATCTCCCCCAAAGCATTTACAGTTCTCCCAGAGGCACTATTCTGAGAGCTAGATTAGAAAACTTCAGCGAGAATGACGACCAAGGCCACATTAAAAGCCCTTTACAATCACCTGAAGGCAATCCAGCCTACTCCGCTCCTCATATTCAGCTGTGGGCCCAGTATGTTGCCTGTCTGTGGTGTCTATCCAAGATACAGATCTCCAGAGTGTCCCTCCTTTCACATACCGCCATCTCAACAAGAGGCATTCTTCTCCAATTAGTTTTTCTTGTGTGGATAGTTGGGCCAAACTCTTGAGCAACTATGGATCTCATCCTTTCCAGCTCTAAGTTTATGATCCCCCATGAGAGTGAAAATACCTTTCAGAAGCCTCGGCCCAGGGGTGGGGAGCCTGCAGCCTCAAGGCCACATGTGTGTGGCCTCTAGGTCCTTGGGTGCAGCCTTTTGATCGAGTCCAAGTTTTACAGAACAAATCCTTTGATTAAGGGGATTTGTTCTGTGAAGTTTGGAGTCAAAGGGCCACACTTGAGGACCTAGAGGGCCACATGTGGCCTCGAGGCCACAGGTTCCCCACCCCTGCCCTGGCCTGTTCATGGCCTTAAGGACATGTGCTGCCTCTGAACTTCTGCAGAGATTTTCAATCACATCAACAAGCACATCCTTCTTTCCCCTGGGCATATCGAGCTCTGTCCTTGGCCCTCCTATGAACCAACATCCTGACACACATCAGTGTCTGCCCGACCTGTGAGGACAACTCATCACGAAGAGGCATAGTGTGTATGTAGATACCATAGCCAAAATGGATCCAGGCCACAGGACTACTCGGGGACCATTTTTTATACATTCATTCCTTATCACTCTGTCATCCTAGTGAAAGGCAGCAAGGAAGAGAGCAGAAAGAGCACCAGATATGCAGTCAGAGTATCTTATTCCAAATCCCATATGTGCTATTTACTGCATGTGTAGCCTTGGGCAAATCACTTCCTCTTTATAGTCCAAAGTATGCTCATCTGAAAAGTGACTGCGCAAAAAAGGGAATCAAGAGAATATTAGTAACTGTGGGCCTCTGTCCTTACCTTCTCATGTTTACAAAAATTTTAGAGGAAAGATGTGCATACCTATGATGAAACTATGAAAAGGAAAGCCAGAAAATACACTCAGAAAAGGTTACATCTTCAGTCACACAACTGAGAATGACAGAGAATGAACAATCCTGCTGTGTGCATTACATGTAATTACAAAAAGGCATTTATTTCACTCAGTAAAAGGCTCTCTTCCCAAGGGGGTCAATCATATGTATGTTAAGATTGTTCATGATTCCTTGTTCTAGATAACTCCATTCAATGACCCTTTTAACATCATATGAATCATAAAAACAAAGAGACGTGTGCACACCCCAACTGTTCACCACAATAATGGAGGATCCATGGTGTAAGCTCGAGGTGGAAGATCACAGGTGATGAAGTCCCCTAGATTCTCTTGTTTGCAAATTATATTATGCTTGATGCAATCAGCATGTCCCCAAACACTGACAGCGCTTCCAAGATCCATGACTGCCTGAAAAGAAATTGGCCTAAAAATGTCTATGGGAAAAATTAAATGGATAAAAATGTCTGCTTTCCAGACGACGGCAAACTATCGAATGCCCAGTTCGTTGCTTTAGTCCACTAGTGTTTTCATGTGGAACAAGCTCTTCAGATGAACATGAAATTGGGCCCAGAATTAAGACAGAGAGTGAACGAAATAGAATTCTGAGAAGCTGTGTAATTACTTCAATGATTTCAAGCTGCTCCCCAGTGTAAAACTCTACTTTTTGAAACACATGAAGCATTGTGGCTATAAATCTGGGAATACCACAATTTCTGAAGAATCAAGCTGCAGGGGACCTAAAGGGTCATGAGGAAGAAGAATGGTGGGCACTCGCAGGCGGTAGTGTGCTTCTATTGGTGACCAAAGTGGGGGCACTGAAAAAAATGTAGAAACTGAAAGGCAAGTGCAGCAAGAAGTAATACAAGAGACGGGCAGCCCATGTGCTCCTCTGGGATCCACGGAATGGAGGCAGACACAGAGGAAAGCCTCTAGCACGACAGGGGGTCCACCACGTAGGACTGATGTCCTATGTGCACAGGGTCAGAAGTCTTAGATGGGCTTCCATCCACACCAGAAATGCTCCACATCAATAAAGCCACAAATCCACTGATCTACTGGGGGGGGGGGCATATGCGTTTGCTGAAAGAATTGCAAGCGGTGGGGCAAAGAGCATGCTCCACTGATACTTACTGGCCCTGTAACCACGGCCAAATACGACTGAACATTGCTGGGCTTTGGTTTCCTCTTCAGTGGAGAAAGTGTCTGGAAAAGCATAAAACACTCTGCAAATGCAAATCACCATTGTGGTCCTTTACCTGGATATCCTCCTGAAGTTCCCTGATTTGTCTTCGCTTGTATCTGTATTTTTCATCCACATTTCTTTTTTGTTCTTCCAATTTAATTTTTATTTCATATTCAGTACCTGTAATTCAAAGGACTTTAGATGACTGGACAAAGCTTTTGAGCACCAGCTAGACAAAGCAGACAGACTTTACGTTGAATGCTCAAAGTAATTATGAAGTTACTCCCTATCCCATCCATTTACATGCAGGCCTTTCACAGGCATATCCTGATGTCCTGACCCCACATGTTGTGATCATCCCCCCACCTTCCCAACCCTTCCTTGCTTCCATACTGCTTCTAGGATAAAGTACCTACTCCTTTGCTGTGTAAGATCACCTCACCCCCACCCCCCGCCCCACTCTGGCTCCAATTTATCTTTCCAAAATTAGCTCATGTTGCTTTCTGTCCTAAATGCTGGCTTGCGGGCCATCTCCCAGACTCAACATTCAGTCTCCTACCACAGTGTCTTTGCACAAGCTGTTTCTTCCCCTCTGGAATGCACTCTAACTTCCACCTCTTAGAATCTTTTACTTTCTGCAAAGCTTAGTTTGTATACCTCCTGTGAGCAGCCTTCCTGGATGCCTAGCTATTAATGTTTTCCCTCTCCTCCAGTTATCTTGCATTTACTTATCTGTTTGTTCATTATACTATAAGATTTCGAGGGCAGGGATGATTCATCTATGTATCTGAACTTCCAACCCCTAATACAGTACCTTACACATAGCAGATGCTTAATAAATGCTTACCATACCCAGGACAACCCAAGTTCTTTGAGGATAGGGACTATTGCATTTGACCTCTGCAACCCCAAAACCTACACAATACACACCTGGCTCCTAAAAGGCATGTAAATATTGGCTACCTAAATTACTGAATATTTTCAACACGCAGACAAGTCTCTCACAGACATCACGACACGCACTGCCTTAGCCATCAAATTAATCCCACACATAAGGGGTAACTAGACAACAAAGATGGTTTTCTTGGGTCACTTCTGGACTCAGTGTCAGTACTTAAACCTTGTTAACACTGTCCTCTAACACCACACCAAACAATACTCATGGATTTTTTTTTTCACATGTGAATGAAATGGATAACCATGTTACATGAACAATAAGCTGAAGAAGGAGCCTGGGGTCAGAATCAACCATGAAAAGGTTTCAGAGTCTATAGGGAGGAAGGCAAGAAGGATCTTGGGAAGGAGGAAAGGAAGGGTGTGTGGCCCTGAAAGGACACTGCTACCTTTCTCTTATCATTCTCCACCAGCTTCCTGACTGGAACCTCAGGCCTGAATGATTCAAATCTGATCTTATTTTAAAATCCATTTTTAACCCATTTTCAGACTGGTAATCCATCGCTTCTCAAGGAACAATGATTAGAAAAACTTGTAACATCAGAAGTTAAGGCAGTGTTTTTGATTAGAAATAAATGGAAATAATAGAGTAATGGGTGGGGGGAAGGGGATAGAGACTGATGAGGGGCCAGAGTCTTTGCCACAACAGTGCCATTAGATATAAATGCATTATTAGAAAAAAGGCACCATAAAAAAAAAGGCACCATAAAGATCCTAGGTCAGCTATGAATAACATTTTCCACTAATTATTCTGGTCCAGCGAAGTGGTGCTTGTTGGTGGAATGACTTAACCCTCTTGTTTATCTGGCAATGATTCATACCCAACTGATCCTACCTAGAGCTTATTTGCACATAATTATTTGAATATTGTCTCCCTGTTAGACTGTGAGCTCCTCAAGGTTAGGGGGTGCTGGTTTTTTGCCTTTCTTTGCATCACCAGTGCTTAGCATGGGGCATGGCACATAGTAGGTGCTTCATATTATTCAGACTAACAATACAGCAGCTTTCACTGCATGCAACTCATGAAAAAGGTCAGAAGCTTGTTCCACGTACTGGTGGGAGCGATTTTCTTAAAGGACTGTTTGTAGTTGGAGTTACAGGTGTTCAGTACTCGCAGCGTGTTTTCTAGGGCGTAGATCTCTTTCTCAGCCTTGTGTATCTGGACATCCAGACTGTCACCTTCACGCTGAAGCTCTTCCTTGGTTTGGGCTGCCTGTAAAATACAGGAAGCGCTATATCTGATCAAGTGATTGATACAAGGAAAAGTGACCTCTCTTTGACAGACCATTGTACCAACCCCCCTTCCCCCTTCCCCTGAGCTAGAAAAGACTAAACCTGTAGATGCTGTAGGTAAAGTCATCTCCAGGGTGTGAAGATCCCCCTTTATTATTTTTTTCCTAGTGGAAATTCATCCCAACCTAGTGAACTGTCTCCAATTCTATAAACGCAGGGCTGACAAGCATTCTTCTGAGTGTCGACTTGACTCGGGATGAGATGTGCGTGTTTGTTTACAGAGGGACCTTTTTCACAAATGTTCTTCTCTCAACTGAAACCAAGCCATTTCGTTTCTATTGCTTGCCCTTTTGCTGCTGTGCCAGGGTCCCTCTCACCAGTGGCCCCCACGCCTAGCGCCAACCCAACCCCATTGTCCACCATGGGGTGTGTGCACCGATCTATGGAGTCTGTACAGAAATGGAAATCCATCATCCCACACAGAACATGAAGCAGCATTTCTATCTCAAGGACTATTCAGGACTAGCCCTTTGACTCTCAGATTAGAAACACTGATGTTAAAACAAAATTCTGACACTTACATGTCCATAACGATTTTTATTTCAATGCAGTCATTCCCCTGTCCAACATTTTAAGTAATTTTCAAATATAACAATTTCATTAAATTTAGGTCAAAATAAGGCTAAATTCCCCTGTAAAACCAAAAGCTTACTCGGGGAAAAAGTATCAGTCTCTTACTGATGAGTCATCAATGGAACTGAGGCATGATGACGCATTTTAAAAAAAAAAAAGCCCAAAATGGGGAAAAGGAAGACAGTAGTCAAGAGTTTCTTGTTCTTATCTCCCCTTTGCCCTTGAGATATAGGAAAACTGTCCCCACCTCACATCTCCCATGCCGTATCTCAAGCTTAGAGAGGAGCAGAGAAAGAAGCAACAGTGGGATACCAGATCCTGTGTATGGAAAAGATGCAAGATCATGCCCCAACATGGAAAGGTCTGTAGATATTTTGTACTTCCTTATCTGTTTACATGTTGTTCTGCCCCCTCACCCAGAAGAATTTAACCCTGAGAGCAGGGACTATTGAATTTTTGTCTTCATATACCCAGTGGCAAACTTATGGAAAGAAATAGATTAGAGTCACATTGGCTGGGCTGCATTCTAGAATGCATGACTAGAAGAAACATCCCCATTGTTGTGATCCCCAGTACCTAGTATAGTACCTGGTACAAAGTGAATGTTGAGTATGTGCATTATTGAATGGAAAATCCTGAATACTGGCTCCTCAGGATCAATTAATTCCCTCAAGTAATAACCTTGAGTACTTTGACAAGAGAAAGTAAGTCAGAAGATCTGGATTCGAATCCAGGCTCTGGCAGGACCCTGAGCAAATCTCTGGGCCTCAGTTTCCTCCTCTGTAAAAAAAGGGGTTTAGATTCAATGGTTTCCAAGGTCCCTTCATTTGATGATTGTATGAGTCTGTGGACATACTGCCAAATCACAATTGTAAGACAATACCTTTATTACATAGTAGGCTTGTGTTTTTTCCTCTTCCCCTTCAGGAGGCATCATGACGACTGTAAGAAGTTCATATCTGTTCTTCAGTTTATCAATATGACTTAGTCGGTCGTGAAATTCAGCACTGATTTAAAGAGATTTTAAAAAATGTCAATGCTGAAAAGATCCTAAATATTTGTTTTATCTACAAAAGAGTATTTTAGTTTACCAAAAAAAAAAAAAGCCCAGAGAATCAGCATTTAATTGAGACAATCAATAGCTCTAATAAAGTACCAAGACACAAAATAGATCCATACAAATTTTCAGCACTTCTATATAATAACAAAATTCAAAGGAAAGTGATTAAAATTAATACAAAATGCTTAAAATATTTAAGAGTCAATTTATAAAGGCACACTTAAAACTTTTATTAATATAATTACTTAACATTATTTGAAGAAATAATGACAAATTAATAGAGGAATATCCACTGCTCATGGCAGGGCTATACCAATATAATAAAAATGACTTTATTACCTAAAATAATAACAGATTTATTACTATATCAATCAAACTACCTTTAAGAGGGAACTTTGTAGAGCTAGACAAAATAATTCAAGAAAAAAAAAGTCTAGAATCTCCAGGAAAATATTATTTTTAAATGTAAAAATGAGCGAAGCACAGCATTTCCCAGTCCTCAAATTAGATTATAAAGCTGCAATCATCCAAACCATTGATAAACAAGCATCAGAAACAATCAAGTTCAATAAGCCACTTGATAAATCAGAGAACACAGACCAACAATAATGCCAGCTCACACTCTCATAGCACTAGAAGGTTTGCAAAGCATTTTATATCTACGATATCCACCGCTTCTTATAACAGCCCTGTGAGGAAAGTGCTGTGATCATCCCTGTTTTACGCATGAGACAAGTTAAGTGACACAGCTGGAGAGCGTCAGGGGAACTCGGGCCTCCCCGAGGCCCCCCCCAGCACCCAGTTTCTGTGAAGGGAAGAATTTCTAATTTGACAAGAACTACTGAGAAAACTGCACAGTAGCTTGGCAGGAATTAGGTTTAGACAAGCATGTCACATCATGTGACAAATCAGCTCAAAATCGAGATGCAACCTGAATATGTGTGTGTGTGTGTGTACACACATATATACATACATACATACATATATACATATACACACATGCATACATATATGTATGTATGTATGTATATATATACACATATATATCACAACATAAAAAATTCAGAAGAGAACATGATCAGGTACCTTTTGCTACTATTGCTAGAAGAATACTTAATCAGTGAGGGATGGCACTGATCAGAAAGGATAAAACAGATTATTTCTGATACATGAAACTGAAGAGTTTTGTATGAACTAGATCAATACTGCTGGGACAAGAAGGGAAATCACCAAATGGGAAAACATTTTTGCATCCAATATCCCTCAGAGTTTGATATCCAGGATATATAGCGAATTGTAGTGTATGCTGTGCTACAAAAATACTTAGCAAGAGAACTGAGAAACAGAAGGAAGTGGGACAGACAGTCAGCAAATGTTGGGCCCGACTAGGTCAGAAAGAAATGCAAGCACATCCGTCAGAGAGACCAGTTCTGTCTTCCCAAAAGACAGTAAAGTCTGAGATAAAGTCTGACACCGGTGAAAAGTGAATTTTCCAGCATGGGGGGAGGCTGAGACAACAAGTTCATTAAAAGGAAAAAAAAGTAATTTTACAGTGGAAATAGTCAGATATTTTTATAGGTTAATGAACCAAAAATTTCTTCAAGCCTACCTTTTTTCTTAATTTTTTAGTTAGCCTGGACTTCCCAAGCTATGTTCAGTATCTACTAAACATCTCCAGCTGGATGCCATCTTAAACTCAACATCTCCAAAACTGACCTCATTATCTTCCCCCCCATCCATTCCTTCTTTCTAACTTCCTGTCATCTTCCTCCCATTGGATTCTTAATAGTTAGCATTTATAGAGGGCGTAAGGTTTGCAAAGCGTGCAAAAAAAATTGTTTTAAGAATTGTTCTGTGGTGGAAGCAGCTAAGGAAGAGGCAGAAGAAGATGACAGATTTTTTGAAAAGATCGCCCATCTACAACAAAAGCAATTTTAGTAGACTTCATGCTGATTCTGTGTGCAAAGCCTTGAACAGACGGCCATCAGTCTATCTTCCCACAAGAGAATATCCATCAGAACAGATTATCGTAACAGAAAAGACAAATATTCTTTTACGTTATCTTCATCAGCAATGGGACAAAAAGAATGCTGCAAAGAAAAGAGACCAGGAACAAGGAGAACTAGAAGGTGAGAGTTCAGCGCCTCCCCCAAAAATTGCCAGCTCAGACAGCCAGGACATGAACAAAGACACGCAAGATGCTTGCTTTCCCTCAGCACCTTGTCTACAGGCGCTTCCTGTCTCGTTTCATCAGTGTGCAAGCCCCTTCCTCCCCACTACGCAGCCCAAACCACTTCTGCCTTCACAGGAGCCAATGTATCTATTTCCGTAATTTTTATTTATGTTGTAAAATGTATGGAGGGAAGGTTAAAAGCAAGTCATCAGATGATGCAGTGCAACACTGGTAGGTGCTTTAAAAAAAAATGTTCATTTTCTTCGCCAGGTTTTACTAGATCTGTTAATTAACTTAGAAGTAGCTGGGGAAAGTTGGGAGCCAAACACAGCCTTATGTGTCTGTCCCCTCTAGGGCTAGCGCATTGCCTAGTCCCAGGGTCTGGGGCTGGGGGGTTGGTGACAATGTGGCCTGGGCCTTCCAGGCCTTACCCACAAGCTTCTTCTGGCACCTGTTGAGCTCACAATGTTTCCTCCCAATGGCAGGGCACCTAGGATACCAGTGCATTTGCCTGCCGCTCCACCCTCAGCCTCAAAAACTGTTGGGCCACTCCTTTATGGAGTCGGTCAGCTTAGAAGGTTTATTTTGGGCTTCTCTTGTGCCCGTTGGGCACTTGACAAAGTCTGCGTGTTGGGGCAGTCTTGAATGCCCCAACTGCAGGGCCTCCATTCCAGGAAGCTGGAGTTAACAACTCCTTTTTTTTTTTTCATTGCCCCCCCCCCCCCACACATCATTTTAATAAGGACTGGTGTGTTCAACTTCTCCAGTCAAATAAAAGGATATTTCTTATCACCCCACCAAAGAAAAAAAAATTTTTTTTACTTCTGGTAGAACTGGAAGGCTTATCCCCATTGACAGAGTGATAAACTCTGATAATATTTATATACTAAGTACCAGAATTATTCCAGACTTATGGAAATTCTCAAAAGGAGACGCATCCTGTAACATGACATTATACCATGCCATACATCATGAAGGCTAAATTTATTCAAGAGATGGAAATAAAAATGCTTTAATGGCCTGAAAATTCTGATTTAATTGAAAAACCCACTGAAAACCTTGGGCCCTCTGACAGAAACATGAGAATTTGTTTTGCTTCGTCATGCATATTTGTGGGAAGAGTTTTTCTTTTCTTTTCTTTCCTTTTCTTTTCTTTTCTTTTTTTTTTTTTAACAATTTGGCAGAGTATGGAACTGGGAGTGTGTGGGACAAGTGAAAGTTTCTCATATGAAATGGAAGCTATGCCCCAAAATTTAGTTAAGGCTTTAGCATTAGCTAAGGCCAAAGTTTCATTTTCCTGTAAATCATGTGATTGGCTCATACACCTGTTGTCCACCCCCTCCCTTGTTTTGTAACCACCACCCCAGCCTTATCTTTGCCAAATAAGGCAATCTTCTAGCCTCCAAGCTTGTTTTGAGTAAAATGTATCTCTTAGTTTCTGGGTAGAATGTAAGGTCTCTTACCTCAACCAGTGGGGATAAAGAGATTCAGGTTAAAAGGTGGGAGGGTACAGTTTTCTTAGAATTGTTTGCCTAGGGGTATATAACTGCTTGCTTGCTATTTGTATCCTGCCTTCCTACTTCAGTTCACCCTGAGTAGGTGATGCCCAATTCTCGTGTGAGACTTGCTAGAATGAAACTTCTGTTTCTACTGAGAGAAATCTCTGAATTTTTATTTAGGTAGGTGGTCTCAATCCTACTCAGTTGGAGGATAGTCTGGGATTTTCTTTGATGAGGGAGGGGGCTTCCTTGCCAAGGTCATGACCAAGCATGCATCCGAGATTTCTCAGAGGTCTTGAGCCCCGGAGGGAGGTTACTGCCCAGTCATTGAAATAAACCCAAAGAGAGGGACTCAGAGAAACAGAAGGCTTGTTAGGGCTCCGATGACTAAAAATGAAACTAAGAAATTCCGGCTGGCCGGTGAGTGAGAGCAGTCATGTACGTTGTATGCGTGCAACCCAGAGGTAAGCACTCAGGGGTCTGGAGGTAATTGGCATAGGGTGAGGGCCCTTTAGGGCAGACTCTAGTTTAGGCGGAGTCTGGGCCTAATCAAATTGTGGAATAGATACCTCATTGAAGGGATGCTGCTGAGAAAGCTTCATGGGTGACTGATGAGGAGTGGGTGACCCTCCTCAGTGATTCAACTGAGTCTTTAGACTCAGAGAGTTCAGTGACGGCTCCCATAAATTGGTCCCTAGGAATGGGAAAGGGACAATTTAAATATGCGCAGTTGAAGCACAAATGTGAGGTACCTATAGACAGTCCTTTAGGCAATCAATTGCAGAATTGGAATGAACTACCAAAATATAGAGGAAAGAATATGAAAAAAAAATGATTAAATATGATTTGAGGATTCTACAGGGCGGAGGGTTGTTGTATGTCTATTTTTTTATATGTGTGTTTGTGTCTGTGCATGGTACGAGAGAGTGTCAGTGTGTATCTTTTGCAGCCAGACAGCAAAAGGCTGTAGCTGGACTCTGTAAAGTCGCTTTCTTTCTCTCCCCCTCTTCCTCCCTGGTAACAGCAGCCTCAGAGGAGCGGGTGGATGGGAGAGGGAAAGAGAGAAAAATATTTTATTATTTAGGTTATATGACTGGTAAAAAGCAAGTTGAGAAGGATTTTCGAAGTGTCAGGTCAGAATTAGAAAGAAATAAGATATGTGTGGTTTTAAAGGGACTTTAATCAAAGTCCATTAGAAAGAAAGGCAAGAAAGTTTAAGCACGTAGGAGAGAGGAGTATGTGTAGAAAGCTTAAGGAAGGTATAATTTATTTGCA